ATTCTGATGACGGATTCGAATTCTACGCCAAAAATTACTTCGGAAATGACCGTAAGTTGTAAAAGAACAGTGACGACTCTCTATTTTGCAGGCCTGTGAATTATTGATATTCGGTGAGAGAGAGAGAGAAAGAGAGAGAGAGAGAGAGAGAGAGAGAGAGAGAGAGAGAGAGAATTCGAAAATTACTGCGAAAACTAACGCTTGGCGCGAATACAAAATTTGAGATCGCAATTGACAAAATACTTTCGAACGTATTTTGTCACGCAACAATAATGGGAGGTGCCCTACCCAGCGGTGCAATTACGGTGATCAGCCGTAATTGTTGAAGCGAAGAAATCTGCTCCTCGGATCAATCAGCTGGCTACCTCGAATCTGTTGCTATCTACAATATTGCTGCTGGTACCAAAAATGCTGTTGCTACCAAAATGTTGCTATTTACTGCTTCCTTGCAACTCACGCACGCACGTATCAAAATTGTTCCAGGAAACTTTTAACGGCAAAACACAGTGCAAAGATTTAAGCGGTATAATCGCGAAAGCAGCTGAGGCTTAACTGCCTATTTCAAACTCTCGCGCGCCCTCTCTCTTTCTCTCAATCGTTCGAACTAATACGCGAGTAATAGAATCGCGAACGGATCGTTTAACTGAATCGACTACCGTTGCAATATATATATATATATATATATATATATATATATATATATATATATATATATATATATATATATATATATATATATATGTCTGTGTTATCATAAATATTGTTGATTTTATACTAAGTCCTGATCTGGGTTCGCCCTGAAGTCTAGAATCAACAATAATTATATAACATACGCCCACATAGAAAAACTTATCTCAACTTTTGAACAGACAGGTCTATTTTCATATATTTTTTGACGCTGAATGCAAATTACCAATAATCTTAGAAACTTTTCAGGAACCATATGTTTCGTCATGCTAACGCTTTCGTTTTCGATCGTGTGACAGAGCTACAGCGTGTTCGCTGGCTCTGTGCGCGGTACTCTCCTCGCTAGATTGCAGTGACCGAGCATGTGCGTTGATAAATAGTACATGCCCGTGTCGTTGCAGGCCTAGGAGAGGGGAGCGCTGCTGCCGGCGAAGTGGTGTCATGGGCGAGAGCGAGAAAAGCCAGAGAGAGAGAGAGAGAGAGAGAGAGAGAGAGAAATAGCGATAAGAATTTTGGAAGGAAAAATGGGAAAAGGAGCGGCGCGAGGCTACAAGAAAATATTGATATGTCAAAAAAGGCAGAGCAGTTAGGCGTGAGCTAAGTGAAACGAAGGACACCTAATTAGTGAGGTGCGAGCTAAAGATAATAACGATCACCTCATTGGAAACATTTATACTTTTCTCTCTCTTGCTCATTTACATAATTGCGGATAGTTTAAGCAAAAGTAACGCGTACGCTGAGCGAATTCGCTCGCATGTTCCGGCGAATTCTGTCACGGTACGGGCTGAGCGAGCGCACTCGACCAAACGTTATTGTATTGAAGTTTAAGTGTTATTTACATATGGCGTAAATAAAGCGATCGCCTACTATAATTTCTTTTCGTCAATTTTTTGATATCGCCTTATCCCAACCAGCGCAATCAGTTGACCCGTGGAAGTCCGCGCCGGCTTCCTTCATCGAGGTGGAACCCATAAAATAATTTGCAGAGTTCAGCCCAAGGCGCATAAAGGTTGATCACTCTCGCAAACGATAAACATCGGATACTATAAAATTAACGAAAGAAAATTTATACATTGAGCATTTTATACTATTAGTTATCTTTATTTTCTTTTAAGTCTTCTGTAAAATTATTTTTGTATTTTTTCTAAATTCAATTCGCTTCCAAAATTCTCGGTTACTAAATAATTAGCGAAAAAACGTAATTGGAAGAAAATGACATCATAATTGTACATGCTGTAACGGGGTGTGAATTTCGTTTTATTTCTTTGTCTCGCCCGATGCGAAGTCGTACCGGAATGCGCGCGGTGATATCGACATAATCAAGTTTCGCTAACTAACTGAAGATCAGGAGAGGACGGGTGTCAGTCAACCAACTTATTACTAGCAAAGACAACAATAAATTAACGTTTCAATCATACATGAACTAGTTTATTTTCTATGTAATTTACAATATGTTTGGCCCGCGTATTTAGCTTATGCGGTGCGTGCGACAATCCTATGCATCGGCATTTCGTTTATAATCTCTTGTTCGCGATATTCGTTTGCATACTCGTTACCGATTTTCTCATAATCGCCGATGTGAGGGGAGAGTAATTAAGCGCGGTTGTTTAACAAAAATCGCGACGCGAAGCTGGCCAGCTTACCTTATGTAAATAATCGAGTAATCAGGAGGAGCAGATTAGTATCGCCTCTCCATATGCAGCTCAGGTTGGCACTTTTCCTAATTGGAAAAGAGATTTTCTCCATCGTCCTGCAGATACTATCGGGTAGATTTCGCGATCTCGTGGTTGGCCTACGATGGCTTTATCACCGATCACTCGAGACAGCAATAATAATGGAGATTATCAACAGCCTAGCTTCCGCACTCTTTTAACGTTCGTATTCGCGCACGTTGTTGATCCAACTCTTGGTACTCCTAGATCCTACAATGGCTATTCTTCGACTGGTTCTTCAGCCTTCGTGCGCGTTCCGTCCCATATCGGATCGAGTTCCCGTTTTCCACTTTCCCCGGCAGGTAGGTGCTGCCCCCGTAGGCAGCCGCGTCATCGAGACGGCACACAGTGTTCCAAATCAGAAACAAATCTCCAGAATGAAATAAATCGCGAACCAACACCCCTAGCGAAATGAACCCAACGGCATTTTTTAATCGCGAATTAGCCGTATTTTAAGGAGTATTTCGCATTAAAAATGAGAACGGAACGTGGTAGGCCACTTCTGACTACGGAGTGGTGTTCAGCGGGAAAAATTACATAGAAATAATCTATATAATATGCTTGTTATAGATATTTTCTGTCTTGTGTGCTGAGATTATAGACTCGTTGAAAATGTTGATACTTTGACCTAATTTTTTTTGTTCAAAAATAAACAAAAAAAATTTTAAATGTCAGGTTATTATTTGTTATTGAAAAAGCTACAAAATGGCCTATTTACTTTTAAAAAAAAAATTACTAAACCATATTTAAAACTCGAAAAACTCTTTTTTCTTGAGAAAATTTGAACTTTGACCTTCATTTTGAAGGTCAAAAGTTGAAGTGATTCATACACGACCATTTTTCCTTTATTCTACATCATTTCAGCTTTAAAATGCCTTTGGGTTGATTTCGCTAGGGGCATTGGTTCGCGATTTATTTCATTTTGGAGATTTGTTTCTGATTTGGAACACTGTGCGGCAGCACAAACAAGACGTTTATCGTCACAATAGTTCGTTGAAGGTAATATATATTGAAATGTCATTTATCAATTCTATTGCAAATAATTAATAATTTATTTACTGTTATAAATATTTTATAAAATTAACGTTATTTGAATTTTAAGTAATAGACAAAAATGGGCAAAATTGATAAAAATGGGTGATACTGGGTGAAAATGGGATGAAAATAGGAGAAAATCAAACCACATTAAAATAACGTAAAAAACTAAATGAAAACATAGTTCAAACAAGCAAAAGTATAGGCACAAATGGGCAAAAAAGGGTAAAGATGAGCAAAAATGAGTCAAATTAGGTGAATATAGGTGCGTCTAAGGAATCAGATCTGCGTTATATATATATATATATATATATAGGGAGATATTGACAATGATTAACAATTATTTTTGGCAGAAAAATTAATAAACATTTTCTAGTTTTCTTTAATCGACGTACCATAAAGTGGATTATTCCGATTATGATAGTGATTATGATAGTGATTGCGATAGTGATTCTGGAGAGAATGATTTTGACGATACCACTAACAATTGATTGTGAATTATAAGTGAGCATATTTGTGAATACATCTTTGCTTTAGTCTTAATTGTATCAACTTTAAATAAATCAGATTTTTATACTGAAATGCTTATTTCCATATTTATCTTGTTTATCTTTCTTTAAAAAATAAATTTTTAGTCGTGATCAATTTAGTTTTTCCTTCTAACGGAACCTGTATATTGTTCCTTTTTATTTATATTCATTAAAATTTTAGTTTGTTAAACTGAAAATGAGACTAATTAGGAAGATTTATCTGGGAGATAAATCGACATCGATATATTTGCAGAATACCATTTGATACAGCAAATGTTGCTAATCGACATTTTTGTGAGTATCATTGAGACCTTCGAATGACTTTGAAAGTATTACAGATCTTATACAGAGTAACCTGGAGAGTTAATTTGTAATAAAAAATTTCTAACCATGATCAAATCGGAGAAAAACCCGTAATTTTTAGAAAACTGCAACTTTAACTTTCGGCTTCAAAGTTAAATATTTATTTTCAATGAACTGGACTATTTTTCCTCTATTCGACATTACTGTAGCTTCAAAATACCGATTCAATCATTTGCTTATGTTTTCTCAGTTTTAAGGAATTTGATTTCGTTTGGAAGCGTAAATTTCAGCCCACTTTGTGGCGCTAAGAGAAAATGGCTCGAAAAAGTAGTTATCAGGCCGATGTCTCAAAGGAAAGAGAACGAGCGCACAGCCACATGCTCACATGCACGCTGCCCTAGCCTTGCTCACGACCACGTCCAGGTACGCAGGAATCGTGTCGTTTAGATGCGCTGACTCACTACCGTGTTAAGCTACATTAGCTCTCTCTTCCTCCGTCTCCGCCCTTACTTGCATACTAACATTTTTACCGTTAACGTCTTGTTGAATCCGCGCCAATCTTTTCTTAACTTCACCGATCGGTTCAAGCGATTTTTATTCTCATATGTATGTATACCGTAATTGAAATAATGTGTTAATAAAAAATTGTTACAAATCCATAATAGATTAATAATATGAAATAACCCAACCCATTTCCACTAAAAATTCTTAAGTTATTACTATCCTAACTTACCGTAGGTGGTGCATGAGATATATTAATTTGTCTACTTATGCTCGTGTATTGCGCTGCAGTCATGTAACCTGTTCCGTAAGGTCGGGCTCCTGAAAATTAACAAAACAATTTTTATATCAAGATGCATAGGCTTGCTGAAGTTGGAAAAAAATTGTATGTTACGATAAAAATAGGATATTAACTTAGATAAAAATAAAAGAATTTTCAACTATATAATTTTTATTTGTTGGCTAAATAAAATAATTTTAGAACTTCAAGAATTAACCACATTATTACGCTCAACCACATTACATTTTGCGAAATTTTAAAACAAAAAGTGACACCTAATTACTATATATAAAACCTATTTCCACTCAATTTTTTCTTGATAACGTTTGGCTGGTTTAACTTCCAGCCTCATCAGGTCCTTTATACAAAATAAATAAATCCATTATACAAAAATGATGAAAATTTTACAATAAAATGGTATCAAATAGAATAAAAAAAATATATAAACGCAACTGGAAAATTTGTCAAGATTACGTTATAAATTGCTATGAGTCAATAAAAAAAGTTATTGTAAATTTTGTTAAATAAAATAAACAACATAGTAAAGTTATTGCTCATATTATATTACACAACAATCAGAAAACACAATTAAAAATACAAGCGTGAAGTTGCACGTCACAAGTCAAACGGAGAAAAAATGAGAAAAACCACGAGTACAAAACAAAATTAATCCTATTAATATATGGAATTATTAGCAGAGCCCATTTTTAATAATTCAAGCATATAAAAATATTACATGGATTAATAGCTTATAAAATAATATGATATTGGATAACCAATAACAATAAATCTATTTAAGAAATTTAAAAATACAATTATATTATTTACTAAGATACTGAGTATCGTTTTGTTTGTTAATAGTATTACTGTATGTATGAATGAATGTCATTATGGAAATTAATCTTTTACTTTTACTAATTGCGTTACCAAAAATTCGAACATTGTTAATGTCAAATCGGTCTATTGGAGTACGTTCATATTCCTTAATTTTTTTTTTTAATTTCCTTTTTGTCTGCCTTATATGAACAATCGGACAATTCGTTACATTGAAACTTATAAACAATGCAAGTCTAACAATTTTTTATTTTTATCCATACCAAGTACAACAATATTATATAATTAACAACTCATGTGAGAAACAACTAATTTGACGGTAAACGTCAAATTAGCGCTAATAATATGACCTAATTGCTGCCTGCGGGGGCAGCACCTACCGGGGAGACGAAAAACGTAACGAAGGAATTCGGCGCGCGAGGAGACGGAACGCGCGCGATTGAAATTGAACCAGTGAAGCACTGGTCGTCGTCACGCTCACCCGCAACTACGCCGCCGATTACTGATACGTGAGCTAGAGATCGAACCATAGAGTGAAGCACTGACCATCATCACGTTCGCCCGCTTTTCTTTTCGCTATTGTCGATCCGTGTACCGTTAAAGCCAATTATTGAGAGAAGAACGTCCAGATCAGTACCAGCTAGCAGTGATCGCTGTCGCCAAGGTGCCATTCAACCACCAAGGGGAGAGACCCGAGCTGACGGAGAAACGTCGCCCGCGAAGAGATCGAGAGAGTGTGTGTGAGGTTTCGCCATCGAGGGCGAAACCACGAGTGCGCGAACTCGCGATCCACGACATAAACAATAAGACAGTTTTCTCGCTGTGCGACTCGTCAGTGTCACCTTCGTACGCCTGCGATATTAAGGTAAGCTGGCCAGCTTAATCTCGTGATCGCGGTCGCATGTTTAATAATTAATTTCCGACATTCGAAGCGTGCATGTAACGGCTCCAATAACAAAGAGCAGCGAGCGTCCCGCCAATACGTGTTGTCGATGAGCGAGCGTCGATGTAAACAAACGCGCGGGCCGACCTTATGTAGCATTTGAGTGATAATAAAAGGTTCTGTTCGTGTTACTAACAAGTGTTTTCGACTCGCTTACTTCTTTTTGCTTCCACTCACTTTCTTATAGGTTAATAGATTTACTGGTTGACTGACGCCTGTCTCCCCATGCTCTCCGGATTGCGTTTTGAGCATAGATAATTACATTCGCCCTTTCAACAAAGTCGCGCGAATAAAAATATAATTAAACGGTGAAACCCCGTTACAATATATATATATATATATGTATGTATGTATAGTGTACACACACACACATTTAATAAATATAACAAAATTCGATTTATTGAAACCAGTTTTTAATGATATACATTTTACCGTTACAAGATGTAACGATATGCATTAGAATGAAACTTTCATGAAAATCATTATTTATTAATATAGTCCACTTATATTGAAAACAATGCACTTGGTATAAATTAGAATGTTCATCAAGACTTACGTTCAGAAGTTGTTGTGATATAATGAAAAAAACTTTCCTCAATTACAATATTTTTAACGTAAAAAAATAAAGGTCCAGAATCATCTGGGATCATGATGATCTTATTAATTTTAATATCATTACCTTCTAAGTTCAAAACGGTTTTTACTGATATTTTTTTAGAATATCTAACGCTAACTGGTGTAACGGGGTAGCTGTCCGTTTATTTAATTTATGCGCGCGATCGTATCGAAGAGCGCGCGGGATTGCCTATACATTTAAATTCGAAAATCGGAGAGCAGGAGGGAACGGGTGTCAGTCAACCAACTATCTACCAATGAGAAATAACTACTTCAGAATTACGATCAATATCACAAGCGAGATCGTTTATTGCCTCTTAAGTCTACAGTTAGTGTTTGTGTGTGTCACACTTTTCCGATTTAAGGGAGGCACAGCGTAATCAAACATTACCACCCTTCTCGCTGGGCACCAACAGGTTGGCATAGCCCACTGTCTTTCACTCCTTCGCTTTCAAACATTTTTGGAGATCCGGAAGTCAAGTTTGCTGCGACATCCCTGACGCACACAGCGAGTCGGAACCTTTTTAATCTAAGGTGGCGACCTCCTCGAAAGGAGTACCGATCTTTTCAAGGTTCAACGCTCAAGGAGAGCGGAACTAAAGGCTTGACCCTCGGTTTGGGCGCGACGGGACTCTAGTTGCCCCGACGTCTGCCGCGTCGGAAGCGCGCAGCATACAAATCTTACGAGATTTGCTTGACCTGGTACCACTACCCCGCAGAGGCCAACCCAAATTGGAATGTCAGAAGAGAGACTCAGCCAGGACAGCCAGAGGAAATTCCTAAGACGATCAACCAGCTAAGCCTCTCTTCCTGGGCTCGCGTTCGAAGATCATCCCACTCTGCGTTCCTGTATTAAGGGATTTCTCCCACGACTCACAGGTCCATCGCTTCGACGTGCCGAGGCACGTCTCCTCATGGCGTTTCGGTCATCCCAGCTCACGCTGGTGGGTGTCCGTTATTCGATAAGGTTGTGTCCTGATTTTTGCCCGAGTCTCGGATTTCGTTTTCTATGGAAGGCTTTTATGACTCGCTGATATTGATCTCTGCCCTTTCGATTAATTTTCTGACTTAGGTCAGGGGCGGGGTCTCGCCTAGCCGACAAGGCGACTCCCCAAAGGTGTCGGGCCTTATTCCCGGAGCTCGAGGCAAAGAACTTTGGGTGGCTGCTATGACCACGGCCACGACTCTTTTTACCCACAATAGTGGCACATACCGATTGCCAGTCGACAGGGAGTAATTTCTTATCTACCCGAATTAAATTCGGATTGCCGGGACCATTGGTCCTCTGCAACTAGCTCCCGGAGCGGTCTCCCGTCCTCTAAGAGGGCGCGCGATACCACAATCCCAAGTGATTTCCCCTCAAGTGACTCCCGGATTTTGGCTTTTCTGGGCTCGAGTTGAGCTCTTGGGGTGTGGTAGACTCCGCGTTGAATGTTTGGGCGTTTACGGGCCGCACCTCACCACGTGCTGTCATGGTCCGTGTTGTTTATTGTCGTTTGGCCGATTGGCCTTTTGCCCTAGGGGCGAGCGTTGTGTGTTTTGCATACTGTTTTTTACAGAAACAGCGTTCTGAGCCCCACCACGTGAAGGTACACACATCCGCACATGTGATTGCAAGTCTTCGTTCAAATACACATTGCATTCACTTCGGGTCGACTAGCATTAGTTGCTTGTCGAGGGCAATCGGTGACGCATTTTGTACTTCAGCATTTGAATTTGCATATGCCCGTACAGAAAAGAGAAGTTTACGACGTTCTCTCCCAAAACAACGAATTGTTTGTTTGAGAAGTCTCCGTTCTCTGTAGAGGAAGACAATTACTGTCCGCCGCTTTAACAAAAGATTTTTGCACAAAGTGACCTGGCTAGCTTACTTTATTAGCAGTTGTACGGTAGCACGAGAGTAAAAACGTTCGCACCCTAGTTGCGGAAAAGTCAGTCTTTGTTGCTAGGTATCTCGCGTTTTCAGTTTCGCCCTCGATGGCGAAACTGCTCACTCACGCACCTAGCACGCACTCAGCTCCGTCAGGCGATGGCACAGCTCCTCTCGGTCTTTATCAGTTGACTCTCTCAGGCGGAATCGATAGCTAATCCTCTTAGCACTCTCAGAAAACTCAGGAAAAACTCCGATCTTTCTTAGCAGCAGCTGAGTGTGCGGGTTCTAATCTTCCACTCGTTTGTTTTCATACGCGCGCGTTCCGTATCGTCTCGTGCCGAATTCCCTCATTACATTTCGCCCCAACCGACAGGTGCTGCCCTCGCCTGCAGCCGCGTGGTTGGGCTGTTAGCGCTAATAAGACGTTTACCGTTACACTGGAAATAAGTGTTGAACAGCATAATATTCTGAAATACTCTGAATTAGCACTAATTATCTATTTTAATTTCGGAACAATTTATAGATACAACTTCTGACAGTAAACGATAATTAAATATAAGTTGATGTTTTATTGCTATAGAATGACAAACATTAATTCTATTGCAAGATACTTTGCAAATGGTTTTTCCCTCGCGATTTTTATTTTCAAATCTCATACAAGATATTTTCCAGAGAGGACCTACTACAGAAAATATTCTACTATAATGTAATATTATATAATGCTTTGGTTTTCAATAATTCGGAAAAATTTCAGTTCAACCTTTCAAATAATCACG